CAGCAGCAGCTGCTGCTGCTGCTGCTGCAGCACCACAGGAAATGTGGGGTTCCGCTCGTTTGGGCGGAGACGGGGGAAGAGATGGCACTCTGTATCCGGATGATGAAGCAGCAGCAGCAGCAGCAGCAGCAGCAGCAGATGCTGATAGTGACCGTCTAGACAGCGGAGATGTTTTGTTTGATGCAGAGGTAGACAGCGACGAGGATATAAGGGGCATCCCTATCGGTAAGTGCAGCAGCAGTAGCAGCAGCAGCAGCAGCAGCATCAGTAGCAGCAGCAGCAGCAGCAGGTGTCTGTGCTGCTGCTGTTTTGTGCTGCAGGCGGCGCCTTTGAGATGCAGCCGCGCGTGTTAGGTAGATCAACAGACACAGCAGCAGCAGCAGCAGCAACAACAGCAGCAGGAGCAGCAGCTGCTCCTCCTGGAGGTCTTGAGCAGCAGCAGCTGCCTGGGGGTGGTGGTCCAATAGGCTGGATGCGTCGTTTGCTGCGCCTGCAGCCGCAGCAGCAGCAACAGCAGCAGCAGCAGCAGCAGCCCATCCCCCTGCGCATGCGTAGGCGGCGCTACGAAGCAGTTGTAGGAGAAGGAATGCATGCAGAAGACAATGATACAAATGTGCTACCAGAGGAGCAGCAGGAGGAGCAGGAGGGGGAGGAGGAGGAGCAGCAGCAGCAGCAGGAGTTGCCTACTGTCCAGTCTTCTCAAGATACAACAAGCAGCAGCAGCAGCAGCAGCAGAAGAGAGCATGCAGCAGCAGAAACAGCACCTGCTGCTGCTTCTCCTTCTATGAGTATAATGGCTGCTATACGTCGTGCCCAAGCTATGCTGCAGGAGGGTCGTACAAGAGCAAGAGACGCAGCAGCAGCAGCAGCAGGAACGGCATCACAGCCACCTCCACCCCCACCACCATCAGCAGCAGCTGCTGCACCACCTGCAGCAGCAGCAGCAGCAAATGAGAGCAGCAGCAGCAGCAGCAGCAACGAGGGCACTATTCGTCTTCTATGGCGTCGCCTACGTAATCGTTTTACAGCAGCAGGTGCTCGTGGTGCTGGATCATCATCATCAGCAGCAGATGCAGCAGCAGCAGCAGCTGCTGCTGCAGCAGCAGCAGCAGCAGCAGCAGCAGAAGAGGAAGAAGAAGACGCAGAACCCTTTGATGACCCTACCTGCCAGCAGCTGCTGCTTGCAGGGGGCCTCCTCTGTTGGGCCCCCCTCTTATGGCTAGTTGGTTGTCTCCTCTTCTTTGTTACCCCTAATCAATATAGAAGAAGCAGAAGAGTTAGTCCTCCTCGACCTGCTGCTGCTGCTGCTGCTGCTGCTGCTGCTGCTGCTGCTTTCTTGCCTTCAGGTCGTCTTTAGCCTCCTGCATAGCCCTACTTCGCTTCCTCGCAGCTAGCCACCCAGCTAGCTAGCTAGCCACATAGCTAGCTAGCCTCCCATCCAGCTAGCCAGCCATCCAGCTAGCCAGCTAGCTAGCTAGCTAGCTAGCTAGCTAGCTAGTTAGCTATATATATAATTATAAATTGTATATATGTTTGTGCTGCAGTGGGGATCTATAAACGTATTATTAGTTGCTCTTTTCTTATGTCTATTAGCTGCTAAACATATTGAAGAAAAACCCAATAAGTATGTTAGGAATGCATGCATGCATGCATGCATTCCTAACATACTGCATGCATGCATGCATGCATGCATGCAATAAAGAATAAATATATAAATAAATATAAATATAAATAAATAAATAAATAAATAAATATAAATAAATAAATATTTTATTTTTATGTATTTTTTTTTCTTACAGTAAATCCCCTCGTTTTGTTTATTACGGGAGAGAAGACGTCAAAGATATGTGGACAGGTAACTGCAGCAGCAGCAGCAGCAACAGCAGCAGCAGCAGCAACAGCAGCAGCAGCAGCAACAGCAGCAGCAGCAGCAGCAACAGCAACAGCAACAGCAGCAGCAACAGCACCAGCAGCAATGGCAGCTGTAGTAGTAGGGAAGAAGCAATTGAGTCAACAGCAGCAGTAGTGATACCACCAGCAACAACCTGCTGCTCCTCCTAACGCTGCTGCTGCTGCTGCTGCTGCTGCTGCTGCATGTATTTGCTGCTCAGGGATTTCTCAGGAGCCTGTGTCTTCTGGTGTTGTATGGGAGATCGTGGGGAGGAGACTCCAGCGTAAGTCACACACTGCAGCAGCAGCAGCAGCAGCAACAGCAGCAGCAGCAGCAGCAGCAGCAACAGCAGCAGCAGCAGTAGCAGCTTGCATGCGCTGTCTGTATACTGCAGGGACAAAATTATTTTATTGGGAGCCATCGCCTGGCCTCTCCCTACAAGGATGGCGGCCTGTGCCTCTCCCGCTGCAGCAGCAGCAGCAGCAGCTGCAGCAACAGCAGTACCCGAAGCTAAACATCACCAAGTAAGGGATAGCAGGATAGATTCGCTGCTGCTACTACTGCTGCTGCTGTGCTGCTGCCGCCGCAGCATCTCACCCGCTGCTGCTGCACCTTACCCCCTGCTGCTGTATCTTACCTACCCCTGCTGCTGCTATCAGTTTACTGTTGCTGCTGCTTCTGTTGCTGCTGCTGCTGCTGCAGGGTGGATCTGGATGAGTTGCTAGGAGAGGGTTGGGGGGGACAGTTGGTATTGGGCCCCTCGTTAACAAGAGAAGCGGGGGGCCCCTATGGGGGCCCCTATGGGGGCCCCTTTGAGGTTACTGGGCTACAGTAAGAAATAAATAAATATATTAATTATTTTTATATATTTAATTATAAATAAAAATAAATTAATTAAATACAATAAGAAGGAAGAAAAAAGGAAGAAAAAAGGAATAAAGAAAGAAAACAGCATAAGGAACAGTGCCTTTATGTATATTTCTGTATTTATTAGTTGTTGCTGCTGCTGCTCTTATTCCTGCTGCTGCTGCTCCTGCTGCTGCTGCTGCTATTTGTAGGGGCCCTTTGGTGGTGGTGACGGGGAGGGTACAGTTTGCTGCTTCATTTGTTGCTGCTGTAGAGCATGCAGCAGTATCTGCAGCAGCAGAGGCAGCAGCAGCAGCAGCAGCAGCACCTGCTGCTGCTGACCTACCGCCTATGATCTTCCCACGGGATATCCCTATAGACGATGCGCTGCCAGGGACCGGCAAGTAAGTGCAACAGCTGCTGCTGCAGCAACAGCAGCAGGTGCAACAGCTGCTGCTGCAGCAGCAGTAGCAGCAGCAGCAACAGCAGCAGCCTTGTGTCTGAATACCCACCCGTCTTGTTGCGCTTCCTACACCGATATTCTTGTTATTAGCTGCAGACCCATACTGCATTGTGGGGTATCCGTATGCATGCATGCATGCATGCATGGACAGCAGCAGCAGCAGCAGCAGGAGCTTCTGTGTGTTGTGCTGCAGACTCCCTGCTGGTTTTTCTGGTGTAGCTGCTCGTTGTTTAGCTGTCCCCTTGGATAGAGACAGAGGGATGTCTTGGGGTTTATTTAATAAAGGAGACACAGAGGAGGAGACAGATAGACATTTGCTGCTCCCTCTAGGCTTGCTGCTGTCTCCTAATGTGCTGCACCAGCAGCAGCAGCAAGAAAAATGGGTACTGTTACCCCCTAATCAGCTACACAGCAGCAGCAGCAGCAGCAACAGCAGCAGCAGCAGCAGCACATGGGGAGTGTATGCAGCATCGAAGGTTCTTGCATTTAAACAAAAGCATGTCTGCTCTATAGTTGTACTGTATACACCCCGGCAGCAGCAAATGCAGCAGCAGCAGCAGCAGCAGGAGCAGCGGGTAGAGACACCTCTTGTGTATATACGCTCCGTCTCCCTCAAGCCACTGCCCTAACCATGGGGCAGCTGCTTACAACTCTACCGCAACAGCAACAGCAGCAGCAGCAGAAGCAGCAACAGCAGCAAGAGCTGGTTGCTGCTGCTGCTCTGCCTGTTTCCCTAGAAAGAGGAAGTTTCTCCGCTGCTGCTGCTGCTGCTGCTGCTGCAGGCGCGGCATTTGAGGGCTTCGAGCTCTTTGCTTTAAAAGCCACGAAACAGACAGTGGCAGAGAACCTCATGTCTCTAGGGTTTAGGGTTTAGGGTTTGGCGCTTAGGGTTTAGGGTTTGGCGCTTAGGGTTTAGGGTTTAGGGGCTCGGGTTTAGTGTTTAGGGTTTAGGGGTTCGGGTTTAGGGTTTAGGGTTTAGGGGCTAGGGAAAAAGAGGGTTGAGTGTATCTCTAGTGTGTTCATGCTGCACGTGATATATGCACTGGGCACAGTCTTTGCTGCTGCTGCTGCTGTTGCTGCGGCTGCTGTTGCTTCTGTTACTTGCATGCACTTTTTCTGGTGCAGCAGCAGCAGCTGCTGCTTTGCTGCTTTAGTTTGTTTTATTCGCATGCAAAAGGCAGCAAAAATATGCGAGGTGTCTGTACACCGCGGGAGCCCCCACCTTCCGTGGGTGCGGGAAAAAACACTTAGTGCAGCAGCAGCAGCAGCAGCAGCAGCAGAAGCAGCAGCAGCAGCAACAGCAGCTTAGGGGTTCACTGCCCTTCTGCAGCCGAAGTACTCTCAGCAGCAAAATACATTGTTTTGTGTAGCAGCAAGGCAAGTTCCTGCTGCTGTTTTTGCTGCTGCTGCTGCATGTGCTGTTTCTGCATTTGCTGCTGCTGCATTCGCTGCTGCAGCAGTTGGTGCTGCTGCAGGTATTACGGTTGCAGCTGCAGCAGCAGCAGTTTCTGCTGCTGCAGGGGTCACTGCTGCAGCAGTTGCTGCTGCTGCTGCAGCATCTGCTGCAGCAGTTCGAGTGACCGTAGGAGTTAAAGGTTTGCATATAGCGCAAACACCTGAAACCCTAAACCCTCAGGGTTTAGGGTTTAGGGTTTAGGTTTTAGGCATTAGGGAGTGGGTACGGCTAGCGCTTGAGCAGCAGCCCCGCTAGCGGGAAACAGCTTGCTGCTGCGGTTGCTGTTGCATGATCAGCTGTTGCTCTAGCAGTTGTTGCTGCACTAGTTGCTGCTGCAGCAGCTGTTGCTGCTGCTGCAGCAGATGCTCAAGGGGAAGGGTTTGGGCCCCACACATTGCTGCTTGCTGCCTCGCCCTCTGCATCATTGCTGCAAAGTGTTGGTGCTGCTGCTTGTTGAAGGCCTCCAGCTGCCGCTGCTGCTGCCGCTGCTGCTGTTGTTGCTGTTGTTGTTGCTGTTGTTGCTGGTGTTGCTGCTGTGCTGTCTGGGGTTGTTTGTGAGGAGGTGTGGCACCGGGGGTTGCTGCTGCGTCTGCTGCTGCATCTGCTGCTGCAGCAGCAGCAGCAGCAGCTTCGTACTTTACGTGCTGCTGCACTACATGCAGAGGGACATGAACTAACTTAGGTATATAAATATCTACAGGGACTAGATAAGGTCTTAGTCTAGTAAGTTGTACTGGTAAGGGTTTTGCTGCTGCTGCTGCTGCTGCTGCTGCTACTGCGCTGCCTGTGCTTCTTGCTACTGCAGCAGCAGCAGCCATATCTATAACCTGCGCCTGCACCTCCTCCTGCAGCACTGTGTGTTCTTCATGTGATTGGAGACGACTGCTGCTTTCTTTTGCTGCTGCTGCTGCTGCTGCAGCAGCAGCAACATCAGCAACAGATGCATGTTGAATAAGGACAGCGTCCTGCTGCAGCAACAGGTGCTGCTGCTGCTGCGTTGCTGCAGCAGCAGATGGGGAACTAGGAGAGAAAAGGCCAGGTGTTGCAGATCTTCTCCTTGCAGCTCCATACACAAAGGCTTGCTGCCCCATGCTGCTGTTGCTGCTGCTGCTGCTGGGACTTGGTGTTTGGCTCCGGATACGGGCAGTTGCATGCTCCTGCTGCTGTTGCTGTTGCTGCTGTTGCTGCTGTTGCTGCTGTTGCTGCTGTTGCTGCTGCTGATGCTGCTGCAGGTGCTGGTGCATCTGGTCTCCCGCGTTCTGCTGCATGCGGACCTGCAGCTCGTGCAGCATTCGGTGTTGCATGTACAGGGGTTGCTGCTGCTGCTGTTTTTGTTGTGGCTGCTGCAGTTGCTGCTTCTGCTGCAGTTGTTGCTTCTCCAATAGCTTCCTCCCTTGCTGTAGCTTCCCACTCGGTTGCTGTTGCTGCTGCTGTTCTTTTACGCCTTGCGTTTGCTGCTGCACGTGCTGCTGTTCAATCAGCTTGTGCTGCTGCTGCTGCTGCTGCTGCTGCTGCTGCTGCTGCTTCAGAGCAGCATCAAGCTTAGACCCCTGTAAGGAGGAGAGACGCCGCAGCAAAGGGTCTCCGCATACTGTACTTGTTGATGTAGAGACAGTGCTGCTGCCGCTTCTTCTCAGTTCCTGCTGCTGCTGCTGCTGCTGCTCCTTCCCCACCTTTGCTGTATCCTGCTGCTGCTCTTGCTGCACGCCTCCTTGAATATTGCTGGGAGACTCTGCGCCTGTCAACTGATGCTGCAGCAGCAGGAATTGCTGCTGCTGCTGCTGCTGCTGCTGAGGCTGCATCGACTTGCCTGGTAGATACCCATGGACCCCCCCAAAAGCCCCTTTCTGCTGCTGCTGCTGTTGCTGCTGCTGTTGCTGCTGTTGGTCAAGCTCGTCCGTGAGGCCTTTCTGCTTAAGTTGCTGTAGCAGTAGTTGTTTCGGGTCATACTGCTGTTCCTGCTGTTGCTGTTGCTGCTGTTGCTGTTGCTGTTGCTGTTGCTGTTGCTGGTGCTGGTGCTGCTGTTGCTGCTGCTGCGGCCCGTTTTCCTGTTGCGACTGCAGCAACAGCTGCTGCTGCTGTGTCAGTAGTTGCTTTAGGTGTTCTTGCTGTCTCTGTAGGTTAGCACGCTGCTGCTTGATTTGTTGCTGCTGCTGCAGTAGCAGCTGCTGTGCTCTTTGCTGCAGCAGGTGCTGCTTCTCGTGCTGCTGCTTATAGAAACCAGGTGCAGCAGCAGCAGCAGGACGGCGAGGAGGAGGTGTAGGAGGGATGAGGACGCAGCGGCGGCTACGAAGTGCTGCTGATGGATAAACAGGAACAGATGCTGCTGCTGCTTCTCTTGCGCAGCTGAATGTGCTGCTGCAGCTGCTGTTGCTGCTGCTGCTGCTGTTGCTGCTGCTGCTCAGACGGTGGCCAATAGACGGGAGGGTTGATCCACCCTTGCCAATCTTTGCTCTGCTGTGGTGCTGTCGCTGCTGTTGCTGCTGCTGCAGCTCCCCCTGCTGTTGCTGTTGTTGCTGCCTCTGCAAGAGTATGAGCTGCTGCTGTTGCTGCTTCTGTAATAGTGACAGTTGCTCTTGCTGCTGCTGCCATACTGAGAGCTGCTGTTGTTGCTGCTGCAGTAGTAAGAGCTGCCGCTGCTGCTGCTCCTGCTGCTGCTGCAGAAAATCCAGTTGCTGCTCCTGCCTTCCGATGTTTCTTGCTACAATGTGGGGTTCATGCGCAGTGCGCCCATCAGCAGCAGCAGCAGCAGCAACGGCATCTGCTGCTGCTGCTCCCGTTGCTGTTCCCGTTTCTGGTACAGCGGCTGCTGGAGCGGAGCTGAGGGATACATCTGATGCTGCT